GGCTGTTGCAAAGAGTACAGTAGGAGCAGGGTGTTCTGAATGGGTATATGACATGATAGGGGCCAGAACTGGTAGGGTTGGGCCAGATATGAGATGCACCACTGATTTGAGGCCAACAGAACAGGCCTTAGAGGTTCTATTCTAAGCAGGACAAATTAAAGTGTCTTTTAAATTCTGGAGCTGCTCTAACATGTGCTGGTGTCCCATTTACCCCCAGATTGCCAGGACAAGGTGGGGTAAAACTAGCTTAGCACCCTGCTTTGCCTTCAACCAAATCAGCTACATTTAACGCTGAGGATTGCATCTTCTGAGTTAAAATTTCTTCTCTTGTAGCCAGTTTCTCATTGTGAACTTAGAAGCTTTGGCAACTACTCAATCCATATCAATTTATTTTTATCTCTTCTCCCCAGACAGCCTTGTGTATTTCACCTTACCCTAAATTCTCCAGGAAACTGTAGCCTGAAATCACACTTCAACTTACCAAAGATAAATCAAGACCTATTCATTTCCAAGTGAAATTAAAACTTTAGAAGCTGCATTTGTCCACTAAGTGCTACTGAGATGAGCAGAATAAACTTCAGAGGTAAGTTTCATTCTTTAACTGCTTTTTCTTACTAGTTCCTTGTCCTCAGCAGGTCTTCCTTTGGTTCCAAACCTGAAACCAAAGGAAAAAAAATCACACCAAATCAAACTTTATTATCGTAAACAATTATTTAAAACAATTCAAAATTTAATTTGAGAAAAGGGAAAGTAAAACAAAAATGCCAGTTCTTAGTGAGTGTCGCATCAAACACTTGAGTGACAGCCTCAGATACTGAAGTTTGCTGTACTCACGATACCAGGTTCTGTTTTTTGCAATAACATGTGCTTTGTGGATCTATTTACCTACTGCTTATATTTGCAAAAAATTGTTTAATGCAACACATTATTTTCATCAAGAAGGAAGAAGTACATATTTTATTACAAGAACCTTAACTACATCCCATGAAGTGGTTTGTTATTTTATGGCTGTGCTATTATTTTGGTCATTTTCATTTTGAAATCCATGTCTTTATGGGTTACTATGAACAACTAGTTAATACATCCACATAATATCCATTACACAGGTTTCCCTCGCTTTATGCTGTACATGTGTTCCTGAAAAACAGCGTATAACTCGAATTCGCATAAAGGGAACCAACTTTACAATGTAACAAGTAGGGATACATTCCAAGACCACGACTGTACTGACCCCCAAACCCATTTCTACCACTTTTACAAGACAATTTTGGTACCCGCCAACAGCAGACAGTATACAGAAGCACAGGGTGGTAGTGAATGTTACTATAATGGGGATGGCAACTACAGAAACACGTTGCAGACAATGAATGAAGAGCACAGATCCACACAGGAGACTATATTTTGGTCCGCATCACTCCCACAACGCACAGCACAAAGCAGCTGACTGCAGGCTTCCACCACACCAATCGCATAAGGGTGAATTTACCTTGCATATCACAAATTTTTGGTATAAAAAGGGTCAATGCATTAGAGCTAATTTGCACATACAGAACCCGCATAAAGTGAGGGAAACCTGTAATCAATAACAGAATTGTTGGTAAAGAACATACAGTTATTGTTTCTCCCAAACAACATCGTAAATGGAATTTTACAGAAGTGTGTGACAGTTTATTTATAGTGAGAATACTTGTGTGTGTGTGTGTGTGTGTGTTTACATTTTAGGGTGATAGAAACTGAATTTACAAAATGATTATATATGTGTTTGTTTTTAAAAAGATTGCTTAACTTATTTATATTTTGAAAAATACAGATAACAGCATTGTTTTATCATCTCTTTTGCCATTTTTTTCTCCCAGCTTCATTCACATAAGAATCTTGTCTAGTTTTCAAACAACAGCAGTTCCTTAAACAGTATAGTACTCTGGTATAGGTTTGAACATATCAAAGAACCACTGTAGTGCTTGTGATACACATATGTAACTTAACAACAGAGGAAATGGTTGAGTTGTCAGGACCTCTCTATACATTTAGGAAAAGGCACAATGAGATCTAATGTACAATCCATACAATCGTGCCTCCTGCCATGCCACACGTGCATGGCAGGAGTCACGATTGTGAGATCATGAATCAGAGCCCATCACACCTTATTGCTGGTACAGGGGGAACCTGAAGCAGGCTCCCCCTGCACCAGCAAGAAGCAAGCTCCTGTGGCTGGGAGCCCCCTCAGCTGATGGGGCTCTCAGCCCCAGGGGCACACCAAGTACCCCTGCATCTGGGAGACTGCAGGTGATGCGATCTTCCAGCCATAAAGTTATTACACATTTTCTAGCAGTAACTTTATAGCTGATTTGACTTTTGAAAGTACCATAGTTAATTTTCCGGTGTAACCAGTCAAAATTAATTGCATAATAAACCAGGTAATTACATAATACATGTAACGTGTAGAGGGAGCCTCAGAACAGTAAGACTGCAGGAGACAACCTTATAAAACTGTGTTAATGTTGGTTCTCTAGGCTAAAACATAACTATAATCTCAGTAAAATTTCACTGTGCTTATGGTATTTTTCTCTTCATTTATCATTTTGATTTTGGGAGACAATTTTCTTGAGTCTTAAAGAAGAAGAATTTTGTTTTTCTTACTCAGATGCTGATGTGCTGCTTTCTTATTATGTTCTTATGTTTGCTTCTTTGTTCTTGATAATCAAAGTGTGTCTTCCTGTAGTGATTTTTATCTTTGCCACTGCTTCCTGATGCTACTTCAATCTAACAGTGCCTGCTCAAATGGGAACTTAGAAATCAAAGTTTATGGGGGTAATATAAATATCTATGTAGACATTCTTCTTTTAGCTTGGTGTCTGTTCTAGTACTGTATTCCACAACTATTGCGAACTGACTCCCAATCAGTGACAGTGGAACAGTTCCATTGCTATATGTGTCCGTACTGATATCACAGTCTTCCACAATGGAGAGGACCAGGCCAGGACAAAACTAAAAGGAATAGAAACAATGAAGTGTAAAGCAGCATAGAAATCCGAACAGTACACATTAGCATTTTTCCATTAAAAATACTTGCTTCTAAGCACTGTAGAATGATTTGGTACCTATTTATCAACTTAAATTGTTTTCATATTGCAAAACAGAACCTTAATTACAAAACTCATTTACATATGGATGACTTTTGCTTGAACAATTTTTCTAATGTATTATGCACAAACATAATTTGCTTTCTGTTGTTCCACCTTGGTTTTCCGAAAACAAAAGGCTATTTTGGAAGGTACAAGGACAAAACCAGATTTGCATTCATATTTAATTTCCTTTACATCCCACTTACATTTTCTCAGGGCCCAGATGGTAGCACATTCTTGGATCACATTCTATCTTGTGTTTTTGGAAGATCACAGTGCTCTGGGGCATCTACTAATTTTTCTTACTCTTTCCTTCCCTTCCCCAAATAGTTTTTTTTAAAGGAGAAATTAAGATTTTTTTTTAGCATATGAAACTCTTGAGTGTACCCATGAAATTTAAATACATTGGTAGTCAATTGCAAAGTTAAAACTGTAGGCATAACTTAAATACACACACACACACACACACACACACACACACACACACACACACACGCGCACACATATCTATATCTATATATATTAGAGAGGAAACTTACTGCCCAGTTCTACTGCTAGTGCACAGTAGGCAGTTATACACAGAATCGGAGTGCCTGTATGTTTAATTATGCATATTTGCATGCAATTGTAAACTTATATTTGGAAAAAATAAAAAAATTGTACATACAAATAGATGTGTGCTTGACTGCAGGTAGAGACTACATTTTGAACATCTGACATGCTATACCTTGCATTCTTTTGCTAGATTGTGTCATCAGTCATCAGAAGAGGAATACTGATTTTTATAAGCAGGATAGTTATCAAGTGTTTTAACTCATTCAGATTCCATGGTATATTCTAGTATGGTTCCATCTGACCTATAAAAAATAAATAATCTTTTCCTTTTTTCTGTTATAGGAATTATTTCAAAAGGACAAACTTTGTGATTAATTAAGAGAACAAGCTAGGGAAGTCAACTGGACTGAAGATCTCAAGGTCTCAAAGTGGAGGAGGTCAGAGGTGCTAAAACTAACTGGAATTTGGATCCAAAATGCGGGGAGGGGATCCTGCTTGAAAAGTGCTCTGGATCTAACCAGATGGCTAACCACTTTCAAACAGGAAATTACAAATACACAGAGAGCTTGCCAGGGGTGGAAAAAAAGATATCAGCTCAGAAACTTGTGGCATAGAGGTCAAGAATCTTAGAGATAAAGTGAGACTTGCCAAAAATCATGGTTTTTTTGGCCATATAAATAAGAAGAGAACAGGGAAAGGAAAAAGGACCTCTATATAATGAGGACAGAGTAGAAAATAAAGAAAATTTAGGTATGGCCCCAAAATTAAAGCAATACTTTGCTTCATTTCTCATTAAGGTGCTAGTGTTGACTACTGGTGCAAAGGGAAGATAGCTAGTGGGAATAACAATCTGAGAAATATAAATGATCACAGCCAAGGTGAAATCTAAACTCAAATAAGGTCAAGCACTCCAATCAGTGGGAGAGGGATAATCTTCAGGCAAGAATTCTGAAAGAACTGGCAATGAGATGGCAAGTGTGTTAGCAAATATTTCTAACACATCAAACCAACAGGCCTGTAGTTCTCCAGTTTACTTTTCTTTCCCCTGCCATTTTAAATGTGAGGAAAGAATAAAGTCATAGATGCAAATGGAATGAAATGCAATGTAGACTTGCTAAAGGCAGATCATGCCACATTAATTGCTTGTCTTGTTTGATTATATAACTGAGTTTCTTGACAAAAGAAATATGGTAGAGCTCATCTGTCGGGACTGCAGTAAAGCATCTGACTTGGGGTCATATGGGAAAATATTAATGGAGGAGATGGTATTAATATAAGACTTGTAAGGTAGATGAAGAACTGGCTACTGGGAACATGGCGCTGGATAATGTTAAATGGGGAAGCATCAGGCTGGCAGGAAATTATTAGCAGAGTTCCTCAAAAAACTGTTTTCAGCCTGCTTTTATATAAGATTTTCGTTAATGACATTGGCATTGAGTGCTGGGAGCTACATGCATGCCACGCAAAGCTCCTGCAATAAAGGCGGGCCGGGTAGGCTGTACTCCTACCCAAAAGTGCAGTGTTGGCTGCAGCCATGTGCTGCTGCATGCCTGCACTGGACATGAGTGCCCAGAGCAGCCCTGCCTGCTGCTGCAGCTGGCAGCAGAGGCTGCGCACAACCCCACCACTGTTGCTTCCTTACTTGCTGCCCGGAGCGAGCAGGATTCCAGAGAACCTGAGCCCGTCCCCCGGAGGCTGCAGCAGCAGCATCCCTGCCTGGAGCTGCATGCTGACTCGGCCAGGCCCTTTTGCCCACAAGGGTGGGAGTGAGGCACAATAGGGTGTGTTGGGAGGGGGGTATATACCTGGGAGCCTTGTTCCCACCCTTGTGGATGGAAGGGCTGGGTGAGGTACAATTCATTGGTGGGCCCTGCGGGCCAGGTGAAAATGCCTCCACGGGCCATATTTTGCCTGCCTGTGATTAAGATGATATATAATGTTCTTAATATATACGTATAGATATGTATATATATGAACACACACACACACACACACAGTCGCATGCAACATTCTACTGTCAAGTACATAATTCAAGATGCATAGGAAAACACTGAAGTTACATATTTATTTGAACACAAGAAAAAAATCACAAAGTATAGAATCATTGCAATTACTATGGCACTCACTAATTTAAAACTGAAGCAAATTAATAGGCAGCTCATATTGGGGACACAGCTGTGTCAAATTTCTTTTGTCTTTGTGGCAATCCTTGTGGAAGGAGAATTGCAGAATGGATATGTCAAAGACTTTTCAGAAGGTAGTGTGGATTTGTGCCTTATAGGCCCTCCCTCTATACTTGTAAGTAAAGGCACAATTAAATTCAATGCCTGATCCACACAGTCGCGCCTCCTGCCATGCCACACATGGATGACAAGAGGGGCGATTGTGGGATCATGCATCAGAGCCAATTGCATCTTATTGCCCGTGTAGGGGGAGCCTGATCCTGGGCTCTCTCTGCATTTGCAAGAAGCAGGCACCCATGGCTGGGACCCGCCTCCTTGCTGAGAGGGCTCCCAATCATGGGTGCCACGTGCAGCCAGGACCCAGTATCCTGCAAGTCACAGGGCTCCTGCTCCCAGCTGTGCCTCATGCACAGCCAGGACCCAGAGCTCTATGAGGCGAAGCCAGGAACAGAGACCTATGTGGGCCTGGGGGATCATGGCAGCTGATGGGGCTCCCAGCTGCAAAGGAGACCCTGCTCCATGTGCAAATTAAAGCTTGATAGCAACCAGCTATAAAGTTAATACACATTTTCGAGGTCTAACTTTATAGCTGGTTAGAAGTTTTTATTGCATGATAGCTACTTTGCACCTGTAACATATACAGGAGGCTATAGATTAACTAAATCAAAATGTATAGCATAAGCTTTCATAACCAGGGGCTTTCTTCATTAGATTCTACAAGTCCTCTGCTTATGAAAGCTTATGCTATACATCTTTGATTTACTCTGTCTATAAAGTACAAATCCACCCTGCCTTCTGCCTAATTTGTGACTAACATGCCTAACTACATCTCAAATCCTTTATAGTCATGTTAAGCTAACTTAATTGGGTTAAAAGGGTACTGGAGAGCTCTGGTTTTGTACATGCATCTGAAAAAACACTACCATCATTACAGAGAAAGCTATTTCTTATAGTATATGACTGGGTTTTTTATGTGCTTGTTTCAAGGGTAATACAGGCTTTGTATAAGCCTAAACCAACAGAAAACAAACAGAAATGATGCTGGGGGAAATATCCAGCACACTGAATGCACCACACATGATGTAGTATACAGTAAGAAAATTTTACAAGGACTTTAACATAACATTTAGCATAAACTGTAATGGTTAAATTGTGGTATTGTGCACACAGTCATTTAGGGGGAAAAGATACAATTTAGTGATTTAGACCGCTGACCATATTTTTTATTTTACTCATGCAATCACGGTGGCGTTTTTGTTTGCTTGCTGGCATAAGCTTTCATGGATACATTAAGTATTCAAAAGCAATATTCTAGAAATCATTCCATTTTGACTTGGGCTGCTAAGTCTTGTCATGGTATAAACATGAAAGGCTTGGATCACCTTCTATTACTGTAAGAGGAAGTGCTTGAACTGAAATTGAACTTGACCCTAAAACTGTAGAATACTGATGATTCCATACCAGTCTGTAGGAGGTCTTTAGTATATAGTTCACTTAAATATATTTAGGTTTACTGATATGGATTGTGGCATATTATGTGGTATTAGGAAAATTCAGGATTTTTAACCAGTTAGTTATCCTGCTTGCAGAGACTAAGTTTCACTCTGTATTTATATTTATACCATTTATTACTGCTGTAGGATGCAAAATATAATTAAGAGGAGTGCATTGACACGAGGAACTTTAAATCAACTGTGCAGATTTCAACAGTGGTAAGACTTTCTAAAATGTATCTAAAGTTCAGTGGGGCAAAGTCTGATTTACAGGAGTTATTTAAATTCCTTTGTATTACCTGAAAGATATTTAGATATGACTGTAACCTTTTGGACATGTATCAGTTTTTAAGGACTCCATTGTGGGCACTTGTACATTATAAATCAGTAACTTCCTGAAATAGGGAGCAGGATGTTGTACATGAGGTACAGTTTTAGGGAAA